GAATGTCTGCTTAGTTTAAAGTAGAACAGTTCAGTCTAACTTTAGACTCAATTGTGTAATTGTCACTGCAGTGACTTGAGCTGCTACAGAGACATTTGAGCTCAATGACCGCTATAAACGGTTTGATGTCTCTGTTAAACAACATTCAATATTTTATACTTTGCTGCAGACTGTTACTGTAGGCTACACATGTTTTTCCTTCACTGAAGCAATTATTGCTCTGCTAATGTTTGCACTTAGTTTGCATTTTTAAAGGCCAACAAAAGGCAACGTAACGCTGCCCTGCGCGTGTGATGCGTCACTTTCTTTTCACTTTTAACTCCCTAAAATAAAATATAGATTTAAAACGGCTTATATGCATTAATTATGAGGCAGGGTGACCAATAGTGACAGATCTGCCAGCCAATCACGAGAGATTGTACTTATTTGAAAGTAGTGATTTCATCCAATGGGGAGTAAGCTACCAATGGGGAGTAATCCTACGTGGGCTGGCCATGTGTGATTTTTCAGCCAATCACGAGTTTGAAAGTAGTGGTATCCGCCAATGCTGAATAGTGTTCTGAAGCAGCCGCTGCATTCATATGCTAATTAGGGCCATTAGCGCTCGGCGGCCGCAGTGTTTCGCTGCATTCATATGCAAAGTAGGGACATTAGCATGGTACGGATGCGGCAGTTTGGAGGACAGGGCACCCTAACTGCGCCTTTTGAAAACTGCCTGAGATACCCGAAAAAGAGCGTGATTTCCTGCCGTTTAGTGTGACGAAAATCTAACTTTTCATGCAGTGCCTTATACTGTAGTCGCTCATACAGACTCCAAACTTTCCAGTCTTGGACGTAACAATATTTAGAAGGTTTTTTCAGAAGGATTTTTTAATAGCCTAGCCTGATTTATTCAGCTTTGAACCCAAAAAAACAGGCGGAATTGGAGTTTTTACAGATTTGTTCATTATGATTAGTCAATTGAAAAACTAAACAATATATCCAAAATCCCATCTGCTAAAATCTTAGTTACTAATATGTCAATAAAATGAAACCATACATTTTAATCTGGCGCAATCCATTATTTTTATTCCGTTGCCCAAAATATAGGCAATTTTGGCCATTTTTATGAACAACATGTCTTACTTTTTATATGGAAACATAAAATGACAGAACATTTTCTGTTCACCTGCCTTAAGCTTTTGTTAAAGCGGAGATAATACGAAGGACATGAGGTTCCTTTTAATGTTCGTATGATTGAAGCTGGTTCGATCTACTGGACGTTTGGGTAAGGCAAGCGCACAAGTTAAAGCTGCGTAGGAACTGAACTGTATTGAACTAGATTGACCAGGGCTCGAGTCCACAGGAATGTCGTAAATCCAGTTTAAGCAATAAACAATAGATATGAAGAAGATGACAAAGTCTGGGATTGCGTCTTTAATTCAGACAGAAGACATTTTATTGTCGATGGTAGAGACAGCACGAACAACACGAACAACAGAATGCAAGTGTATTATACAGAGCGGAGGCATGGAGACCTCCAATCAGCAGCTGCCACGGTGCCAGCAGAGATAGTCAAAACATGAAGTGGAAAGGTACAGGCTTCTGCACATTGATAGAATGATGAGTTTAACTTTAACAAAAGTTGCTTCAAAGTGTTATGAAATCTCACATTCCCCCCTCTGGTCATACATTCACGTGTGACCATCAGGATCGATAAACAGCAACATAACATCATAACTCAATACTTAAACTCGGTACTTCACTCGGTACTTCAAAAATTCATAAAACTCATAAAACATGTTCAGATTTTTCATAAAACTTGTCAACAATCTTCAGTAAAATACCAAACTTCATCAGTCGATGGTGGTTCCAGATATTGCTTTGAAAACAGTCTCTCCCACTTCTCCGTGTTGGTTTTCTTCAGGCTGCATTTGTGTCGAGCCATGAATTCTTCTGTGACGTGTTATTTCAATCACACGTTTCAGCTTCAGTGTCCAGATTCAGCAATTCAATTCAGTCCAAATTATGTCCAAATTCAGAAATCCAATTGTTCCAAATTATGTCCATGCAAAAGAGGACAATGGTGTTGTCCATGTCTCAGCAGCTCACAGCCTGAGTGGAATCAGGGGCTGTGCAGATTGTCCAAGTGCTGATCCAGATGCATGGGTTCTCTTGAGGTTTTTCAGTTTTGTCTTTAAAAAAAAAAAAAAAAATTGTGTAAAAAAATAAAAAAGAGTCTTCTGTTCTCTAGATGTTACAGACAAGGCCCGCATCCTTCCACCACCTGAAGAAGATGACATGTCTGGGATCGTGTCATAAATTCTGACAGAAGACATGTTTTATTGTCGATGGTAGAGACAGCACGAACAACAGATACAACAGAATGCAAGTGTATTATACAGAGCGGAGGCATGGAGACCTCCAATCAGCAGCTGCCACAGTGCCAGCAGAGATAGTCAAAACATGAAGTGGAAAGGTACAGGCTTCTGCACATTGATAGAATGATGAGTTTAACTTTAACAAAAGTTGCTTGAAAGTGTTATGAAATCTCACAGATATATAGACCACCTGATATCCCCACGGGCCAAGGGATGTCCACGTTAGCCTATATTAGCCTACTATTGTTAGGATTTCTATATCCAGTGTTTTGTCAAGGTGCCAATTGCTAATTTAATAAACATTTCCTCCAATGATAAAACTGAATGGATCTTGTTTGATGAGTATTGTGATGTATTCCATTGATTGCACACCAGCGCACTGAGCCAAAATGCGTCAGCGTCTCTCTCTCTCTCTCTTATTTACATCACGCCGTCCAGAGTGTTTGATAATGGGATTTATTTTAACCAATACTATTAAAACTTTGCTCAGCCAAACAGTAAATACAAGGAGAAGACCTCACTAAAAGATCACGAGAGGCAGATCGCTTTCAGAATGTCTTTATTTTCGAATTGGCATAGAATTCTATATAGACAATACATAATTATTTTAAATATATACGTTAATGCAATTTAATTATAAAGATCAACATTAGTACAAAATATGTATATGTTGTCTCTGCAACATAGAGGCTATCTATCTATCTCGAACACAGTTAATGATATAGTTGAGCTGTCTGATGATCTGAATGACAAAAGCAGTGAAAATAAAGCCACAGCTCCAGTGTCTGAGAGTGAAACCTGTCACTGCCTTTGCCCAAAACCATCTCACGTGACATCGCGGCGCTCATTCAGTCAAATTGTAACGTGCCACTTTATTCACCCAGTAACGATAACGGTGTTGTAACGATTACTAAGTATGTTATTATGAAAATAAAGCACAACATTTTTGGGGCGATTAGACAACATAACATACATAATAAAAGGCGCGTGCACCCGCAAATGCGTAATTTTTGGCCACAAAGGCGGTGTTTCATTACTTTGACATTTTCAGTATAGAAAATGTGCTCGGTTCAAGTGGGAGTTAAGAGGTGTTGGTGGGGCGTTTAGCATGAACCGCGCCGAAATTTGATCGAGTTGCAATTTCTTTACTATCTGTCATAAAGTGAAAGGAGCCTGTGCGTCCTTTATTTAGGACAAGACATTTTTAATAGCCTATCACTCAGGCGAGCAAAAACCGAGCACGTTTTCTCCAGTGTTAAATAAAAAATACTTAGTAATTAGGCCAACACATTTAAAATAGTTGCTAGACTGTAGTAAACTGTTGTAAACTTCACAATCTGCACCAACCAAACTGCAGGAAAAAAATGCATTCAGTAACGGAGTAATCTGATTCATATACGTTCACGTTCAATAACGCACTTGCTGCTGGCTATCCCATACTGTAGAAGAAGTCAGAAAGGAACTTTTGAGAAGAAGTGTTTTTATTAAAAAATAAGAAGTAAAAATAAGTAATAAAGTAAAATACAATTGTATTGTTACAGTACTTACAATACAGTGCAGTAAGTTAGTACAGTGTTTTACAGAGTCAATCCTTTGACTTTAAACCGCGTTTTGATAGGCCCGAAGTGAGCAACAAACCTCACCGCACATCACTGGGTGGGGGTTGTGGCACTGTCTTGTTTGTCAAACGGTCGTTATTGTAACACACACAACTCACACTGAGAGAGGGATTCAGACTGCAGACATCACTTAAGTCCAAACTTTATCAGGACTTCTCTTGCTTTTGTAATGAGCTCATACACATGAGGAAAAGGCCAACAAAAGGCGACGTAACGCCGCCCCGCGCGTGTGATGCATTGTTTGTTTTTCACTCCACAAACCCAGAGTCACTCTATCTAACCATAAAACCGAACATATGAGTCGGATTGTTCTCAAATAAGAAATGAATTAAAGCTAGAGATGCGCTGATTATATTCATGGATGAGTCTTAGGCCCTGTCCACACGAAGTCAAGCTCAGGCCTAAACGCAAAAATACTTTATCAATCCAGTGTATCGTCCATACGAGGCCGGCGTTTTGGGGGGGTGTAAACGAACATTTTTGAAATTAGGTCCCAGAGTGGAAAGATTTCAAAACTCCGTATATGCCGCTCCGTGGTTACTGCCTCTCCGCAATGTATCTGAGACGCTTGCGTCATCGCCCCGCCTCTTGTTAAAGCACGCATGCGCCGCACTCAGAAAATAATGACAACAAGAATGGCGCCATACAGTGTTGCTTGTGTCCTGTTGAAGCAAGTGAGCCTACTAACGCTATTACAGCAAAATATCCTTCTTCTCCATCATCTTCGGTTACAGCAATCTATTCTTGACAACATAGTACGCTACTTTATTTTGGATTCCCCGCGGATAAGGACCCGAAGGGCATCCCGACGGAGGTTTTGGACGCGACCTGGCAGAACTAGTAGCTGGTGGGACAACTTCGTGAATGGTGTTGTCCTGGACGCTGAATGGAGGGAGAACTTTCGTATGTCCCGGGAATCTGTCGTGGCGCTCACCGAGGAGCTAAGTCCGCACATCGAAGGGCAAACGACAAATATGAGGGCACCCATTGATCCTCTAAAACGGGTCGCTCTGACGCTTTATTATTTGAGCGACGAAGGAAGGCTACGGAAGACTGCAAACGCCTTCGGTGTGTCGCGCCAGGCCGTGTCTGTCATCGTTAGGCAGATCTGCAGGACGATCTCCATCCACCTCGGTCCCAGGTACGTCTGACTGCCTTTCACGGAGCAAGACGCTACAGAGCTGGTTGTGGGGTTTCAACAGACTCATGGCATGCCCCAATGTTTAGGAGCAGTTGACGGCACCCATATTGAAATCAAACAACCGTCTGTCAACTCCACGGACTATATAAACAGAAAAGGCAAGTACACCCTGAATGTACAGGCAGTGTGCGATTACAAGTACAGATTTATGGATGTTGTCATCAAGTGGCCTGGAAGTGTGCACGACGCACGGATCTTTGCCAATTCAGAGCTGAATCTGTCACTGAAAAATGGCAAGATCCCGCCTCTTAAAAGGCGGATTGTGGACGATGAGGAGCCTATATCCATTTTCCTTCTCTGTGATCCTGCGTACCCACTGCTGCCTCATCTGATGAAGGAGTTCTCCAACGGTGGGTCGACGCCGCAAGAACAGTACTTTGGCCTGAGTTTATGTAGGGCACGGATGGTCATTGAGTGTGCATTTGGTCGTCTGAAAGCCAGATTTGCAGCACTGAGAAGGCCGATGGACATAAATTTGAATGACCTGCCCTATGTCATATACTCTTGTTTTGTTCTTCACAATTTCTGTGAGGCCAGTAAGGAGGGTGTAGATGAAGTGTCTGTGATGGGAACGATGCGAGGAGAGGTGGACTCACAGCCTCCCACACAGTGCAACAATTTCCGCACTGACTGTAATGAGGGGGAAGGAAAGAGAGTGAGAAGAGTGGTAATGAAGTACCTTGACCCTTAAGGACTGCCAGTATTGCCAATACTGTATTTAACTTTGTAAAACTTTGAAAAACATATTTGGGAAACCACTATGAGGTTATGGTTACTTCTGTTTAGTTTAGTTTAGTTTAGTTTGAATGGAGTAGAGTTTGGCCTGTCTTAAGTGTTAAGCGTGACGACAACATGTTTTAAGTTTTGAAGTCGTTATTTTGACAATGTTATTTATGTTCGCAGCTACAAATAATTTCCAACTTGAATCAATGTTACTTTAAATTTGTGGGTGATCCGGAAAAATTATTTAATTTGCCTTATGTATTGACAAAAATAAAAAGATTGTTATATTCAATGTTCAAACACTGTCTTTTTATTAAAGTGCAACAAAAATAGTCACAGTATAAAATCTGCAAATATCACTGGTATAACGAAGCTTGTTTTGTAACAAAATAACTGCTTCATTTAAAAAAAATTACCTGCGAACTAAACAAAGTAGTGCAAAATTCACAAAAATAAACAGATGAGCTCAATCATATTCAGATAGTGCTCGTGTGTATGAAAATGAGGGGGTATATTGCTGTAAAGTTTCGTGTGATTGTAGTGGTGGTGTTGGTGTGTATCTCCCAGAGTGGTGTGTTTCACTTGGAGTGTGAATGAAGGGTGATGCATTGTGGTGTGAGTTCTGGTGCATGTTGTATGAAGGTGGGTGTCCCTGGTATACACTGCTGCTACTGTGGGGGCGTGCATTGAGAGGCTGGACTAATAGTTCTCTCATCAGAGAAAATCCTTCCTGTATGGTATTGGTGATGTTTGCTATGTTGTTATTTATCTGTTGCATGTTGTCTGTATTGCGTCTTGACGACTCCTCCATTAGGTCCAGCATCCTCCGTTTCAGCTGCAACTCTTCCTGTCCTGTATCGGCAGGGACCTTTCTTTTCAGCCTGTCCCCTCTGTGGCTATTTAGCTTTGCCTTGAAAGACACATAGAACAATGTAATTTTATTAACAGGACAATAGCAAAGGTTTGCTTGATTATTAACGTAATGAACATCACAGGCCTCACTGAGTAATGTACATTAATTCTGTAGCAGTAAGACATGATTTGTTTTGATCACAATCTTAGTTTTCAATACAGCTATATGGAATACAAAAATAGAAAAACTGCAAATGTGGAGCCAGTTAGCATTACGAAAGTCAAACCCTGTCATCTTACACAGTTATGTCTTACATAATTATAGTAAATAATCAGCGCATTGATGTTGTTGCCTACCTGCAGCATCTCTCTGCGCTGCCTTACGACTGGAGGAGGCAGCAGACTTTCAACAAAGTCTGACGACTGTGGCGAGTCAGTGGGCAGCTCCGAGGTCGATGAAGACGTCTCGACCAGGTCCGCCGTCTCAATGCCTTGTTCAATGGAGCGTGTTGCAGGCGATCCTCCCCAGATCTCCTCGCAGAGTTCAAAAAACATGAGCACCACACGCCCATGGCCACTCCGTCGCCCACTGTCCACTGCCTGCCTGTATTTCCCTCTGATGTTTTTAATTTTGGCGGTTAGGTGGCCTTTAGTTATCGCTGTGGAGTCATGTGGGAATTCTCTGTCCGGAGAGTCGCGTGGATATTGCTCATGAAAGGCCGACATGATGTATTTGGACATACACGTCTCCCAGTCTACACTTTCTTGTAGCTTGTTGGTTTTATAATCCAGTGTGACCCGAAGCAACAGTTCAACCTCATCGTCCGTCCATACTAATGTAGTACCAGCTCGCCCACTCGCCATGTTGTCTGTTTACAAAATTCTGCGCATGCCCAGTTCCCGTCACGGAAGTTTGGGCTTGATCCCGTCATTGCGTCACAGCGCCACCAACAAGTCTGGCATAGTTTCACAGCGTTTTCAGGCGTATTGACTACATTCATATGGACGCACACATTTACTGAGCTAACTCCGTGTTTACAGAAAACGTTTCTGAAATTATAAGCGTTTTGTCTTCGTGTGGATATAGCCTTAGTCTGTAGAGTTCTTAGTTTTGTGTAAACAGCAGGTTTGTCCTTCGCACACCTCTCTCTCTCTCTGTCTCTCTCTTCTCTCTCTCTCTCTCTCTCTCTCTCTCTGTCTCTCTCTTCTCTCTCTCTCTCTCTCTCTCTCTCAGGTGAGTGTAGCGCAGACCGGTGCACGTGGAGCTTGATAAACATGTAAACTTTAAATACAATTGGAATTCAACTCCACAATCAGCACCAACCAAACTGCAGGAATAAAAATGCCAATTTTACAACATGACATTTCCTTTTGACAAGGAAAGAAGATAACAAGCTGATAACGTTACGTAATTGCACGCAAGCAACCAAAAGGTGTGCAACCAAAACTGCCTTAGACAAGAATAGAACCCGGATCCCCCGGGTCCTAACCTGCAACGCTAACCATTCGGCCACATAGTATGACTAGGCAAAACAAGTTTGCACGCAGTCTTATACCTGAGCGTTTCAGTCGCTGGCAGAGCTAAAGCGGACTTAACCTGCCACCTAGTGGCGATAGGATGTAATATGTTTCACGCAGCTGCGTGATTCATGAAAAGCGTGAATGAAGACGACAAAACGAAATGGGACCTACTGTAGATCTTTGCGAGTTCCAGGCGACTTCCGCTAATCTTTCAGCCCCCATGCCGTCACAAAGCGCCACTGAGCACAACTATTCATTTGAATAGGGCGCCATCTTGGATCGCCGGGGCTTGATTGGAATACATTAGCAAAAAGTCTCCAGTGTGCACAGACAAATACAGACATAAAACAACATTAAAAGTACGGAAATAAAACAAATAAAACAGTAAACAAATGTCACTGTGAAATCGATCGACTAAAACAGTTTCAAAACAAGTGCAAATCCTTAAAGTGCTCTGTTCAAACTGATAACAGCTTGTGGATAAAAACTGTTAGCGTAACGAGATGTCCTGCATCTCAGAGAGCGATATCTTCTGCCAGAGGGAAGAAGCTGGAACATGGCTTTCCCAGGGTGGCCAGAAGAGTCATTGACAATCCTAAGAGCTTTGTTTAAAAGTCTGGATTTATAAAGAACCTCCAGAACAGGAAGCTCACAGCCCACGGTCCTCTTTGCAGAGCGGAGCACCTTGTTTAAAGCTCTCTTTTCTTTATCTGTGATGTTTCCAAACCAATGGAATGTTTCCGATTGGGTACAATAATGTATAGTCATTGTTGTCATCAGTGGTATAGCCAGAAACTTTGAGGGGTACGCCAAAGAAGGGGGCGACAGTAGCTCAGTTGGTACAGCATCGGCCTTTAGGCCTGAATGTTGCGGGTTTGTTTCCCACCTCGACACCTTCTCCACCAACTCCCACTGATGACTGCTGTTGTTGTGTCCTTGGGCAAGACACTCAACCCCACTTTGCCTGAAGCCCCCACTGAAAGATCTCAGCTCCTGTGGACTCACCACAGGAGGATCAGTGAGGGGCTGGTGCTCTGTGCACTGGGTGCAGCTCTGACTGCCACCCCCCGACCCAGAAATGGATTAAGGGGAAGAAAATGGATGGATAGATGGGCTACGCCAAAGACAAAGTATTTTTTTCCCCATGGCGATGGGGGGTTTGAGTTTGTGCTATGTAGAAACTGATCTGTTTGGTTTGAGGCTTCTGATCCTGATCCTTGTGTTTCCCCTCAGAGAACTACCGGCTGTCTTTTAAGGGCTCCATTTTGGATGAAGACAACTCTCTGTATGAGTCTGGGATCAGGAACGGCTCCATGATTTTATTGGCGGTTTCGCCTGAATATATAAGCCTTTTGGAAAGGTTTTGCGAACGCAGAAACGGCATGGACCGACTGGCAGACTTTGATGCCTGCGGTGTGCAATGACAGCTGTTATAGTTTTGTGCTTTACGATCGTTATTTTTCTTGCTTTTATCTATCGGTAAATGTCAAGTTATTTGGTGATTTTCTTGTTTGTGCAAATTCCCCACTTGAAAGGGATAAATCATGTGAGTTTCAACTGGATTTCACTCGATAAGCAGCCATGGATCTTGATTTTTTAGCTTGGGTTTAAGTGAAAAACCTCAACAAGAGAACAGAAACATACATTTTCTATGTAAATAAACTGTCTTACAATCGCTTCTTTTAAACAAGCAATGTTCCTGCTGGTAAATCAAAATAGTATTCTATTTTAAATAATATTTTACACACAAATGACAATCTATATTTTTAACAGTACACTGTTTAAGACCTTTTTTCAGTTTTGCATCATTATAGTTTGTTATATGGTATAGTTTTTCAATAGTTATATTGTATTGGTAATTGACATTTAGCCATATGAGTTACAAAAGAGGTTTTAAACATTTAGATGTTTTTTACAAACATTTTTAACTACATTTGAAACTTAGTACAATATTATTTTAGCTTTTATCAAACAAAGGGAGGCATACTATGAATTAGACCATAAGTCTACTAATCAACAGATCTGGTTTTAGCACACTTTAAAAGTAATACACCCCACCCTGGAGCCAGGCCTGGGGTCGGGCCTCGTATGCGAGTGCCTGGTGGCCGGGCCTTAGCCCACGGGGCCCGGCCGGGCTCAGCCCGAAGGGACGACGTGGGCAGTCCCTCCTGTGGGCCCACCACCTGCAGAGGGGTCCGTGGTGGCGCGGTGCTAAGAGGACTGGGCAGCAGTCGAAGGCGGAGACCTCGGCGACCCAGTCCACACACACAAAGTGAGGGAAGGATGGAGCGTGAGATTGACAGGCGGATCGGTGCAGCAGTGATGCGGGCGCTGTATGAAGAGGGAGCTGAGCCGAAAGGCAAAGCTCTCGATTTACCGGTCAATCTTCGTTCCCTCCCTCACCTATGGTCATGAGCTTTGGGTAATGACCGAAAGAATGAGATTGCGGATACAAGCGGTCGAAATGAGCTTCCTCCGCAGAGTGGCTGGGCGCTCCCTTAGAGATAGGGTGAGGAGCTTGGTCACACGGGAGGAGCTCGGAGTAGAGCCGCTGCTACTCCACGTCCAGAGGAACCAGTTGAGGTGGCTCGGGCATCTGTTCCGGATGCCTCCTGGACGCCTCCCTGGGGAGGTGTTCCGGGCACGTCCCACCGGGAGGAGGCCCCGGGGAAGACCCAGGACACGCTGGAGGGACTATGTCTCTCAGCTGGCCTGGGAACGCCCTGGGGTCCCCCCGGACGAGCTGGAGGAAGTGTGTGTGGATAGGGAAGTCTGGGCGTCTCTGCTTAGACTGCTGCCCCCGCGACCCGGCAACGGATGCACAAACACCACTATGCACATGTTCCCTTTAGCGCAGGGGTCGAACTGGGGACTAGAACGTTCAAAACCGCAATCTGGACGGTGGATTGTCAAATCGGTCTAACAAGGTTTAATCCTGCCAGCTCCAGATTTACTTTTGAGAGAGTGAAAGACCAGAGTGAGAGAGACCGAGAGAGAGACCAAAGAGTGAGAGTCCAGAGAGAGAGTTCAGATACATCGATGCCAGCGCGAGAGAGAGACCACAGAGAGTCCAGATACAGAGTCCAGAGACCCGAAAGAAGGACCAGCGATAGAAAGTGAGAGACCAGAAAGACAGATCAGAGAGTTTATACTTCTTATACTTATATATTTGGTATAATTTTATTCTTTATTGAGAAACAAAACATTTGATCCATTCACCGTCATCTTTACCTTCCTTGGTACAATTATAACACTGCTTTTTATCATTCTTGTTTGAACTGCAGGTTGAAAGCCGTTGCAGAGGCTGGAGACGTGTGGCAGATTTAACAAAAAATTATTATAACTGGACAAAACGATAGCCTCCTTTGAAGGAAGTGACAGCCTGAGCGCTGCTCTGCACCCAGCACCTGTCCTTTAAAAAACAAACATTATTTGATTAATTACATTTGATTTACATTGTTGTAATGTTTGTGTCTTTCCGGCCAGCAACAGTACACACGGGAACTGCAGTAAAGTTTGTTTAATATTGGATATTCAACACATTCAAATAATCTATTTAGCCCTTTACCCTGTTGTTGATATCTAATAATTTTCCAATGATTTATTACTATTAAATTCAATAAAATCTATTTAGCCCTTTAACCTTTTGATTTCAAAATGCGTAGGGTTTATGCCTACTGGTCCCTCACACATGAAACAAAGCTTATTTTTTTCAATATACACATTTTTTAAATATTTTGTTGATTTCTTAAACATTTTTTCATATAAACAATAACATTTACACAAACATTGAACATTTAACTACCATTAGCCACCTATATCCCCTTGTCCTCCACCTCAACCCCACTTCGTTACGTTCAAATACTTTTCTTCCCTCATCCTTCCCTTTTCTACACCCCATACTCCTAAAATCCACTCATTCCTCCCTTTCCTCACCACTATTCCATCCGACCTCTCTCCTCTATTGGTCACATCCTAGCAACACAATTGACAAGTCCACTTCTTTCTAAATTTGCGCGATTTGTCTGCAGCGATGCAAACATCATGGGACCACCCCCCGCAGCCTCACACTGGGTCTGTAAAACAAGTTCAAAATGAACATTCAAAGTTTGATCACTTTTCAATACTGGTCCCTTTCCCTCTCACTCTAAACAATGATAATTGTTAAATGTATTGGGGTTTTTATTAATGATCAGACAGTCAAATATATTAGAGGGTGT